AAAAAAAAAAAAAAGTAATCACCTCCCCCTTATGTGTACCATTCATTCACTGTGTCTCAAAATGACACTTTTACAACCATGATGCACATTTAGGATGATTTTCATTGTAAAAATACTGTTGCCCTGTTTTTAAGTATTTGGTCACATCGGACCTTCGGTCTAATTACAAACCATAAATAAACATGTGACGTCAGCTTAAAGGTGTAACTACAACTTCTGCAAGTCACAGAAGGAACTGTGCACAGAAATATCCATCGCAAGGTGCCTGTATCAGCATGTGTGCGTGTCTCTTTGGGGGGTGGCTGCCGAATCACGAACTGTGTCATTCACGAAGTTAGAAACACAGCTGCGATTACAATTTGGAGACTAACCAACACACAAATAAATTAAGATATACTTCTCTGAAAAGAGGCACAAGTACTAAACTGATAAAAAAAAAGAATTAGTATCTACAAACAAAAGGAAATTAAATCATAAATATTCAACACTGGAAATATTAGTTATTAAACAAAGTCACAAATTGAAGAAAGCCAGTCTCACAAAGCTCTTTTCTCCAAAGACGGGTTTTCTTCAGGAATCGGGTCCCTTTAAAAACCACTCCAACTCTTCCAACTGACGCCCTGTAGCTCTACACATTACACTAGTTTACATCGTCTCCATCCTAACCGACAGCTAAATCAGATTTGAAAGCGTATAAAATGTAGCGGCGTTGATGTACTTCTGACAAACTATACACAGAAAACACGGCAACAACGAGGCGTAAAACGGGGCCGATCCTATCAGAGACCAGCACCTTGTTCGTGCACACACTTTAAAGGGAAACTAGACATGACATTGAGGGGGAAAGCGTGAACAGTAGAACAATATCTAAAAATAAAATCTGTAAATTCTGTAAAGGAAGAGAAAAAAAAAAACTACGCTGATCTTAAAGCTAAAATGCAAGCCTGTAAAAAGAGAATAAAAACTCATGAGCCATAAAACTGGCCTTCCATCATTCCTGGATTCATTCAGAGCAAGATTTGAGTCAACCTTTGGTCCAGAGGTCACTGGCAAACTGCTTACGGCGACATGAACTGTACAGTACAGTATCCAAACTGTACAGTATCCATTTACAAGAAAACATACGTAGCGGGCTCTATTCGTGCATGTTACTACACTATCCTGGATGAGATGTGCAGTAGCATTAGTGAATGCTGCTGCTTTTTCAACATTCACTGAATCAATCACATTAATAACCTGCTGGAAAGGCTTTAAAAAAAAAGAAAAAAGACTACTACTCCTGTTCATGCGTGCCTGCCGCAGAATGACACCAACAAAATGACACTAAAGCACACAATAAAAATATAATATATATATTCTACATATAATATATTCTGCTCTAGGTGCATGTACATATACGAGATATAGGTCATCTGAAGTTAGCATTTAACATTTTAATGCAGGTAATGTAAGTTTTTCCTGATTTGTCCAGTTTTCCAGCACAGCTTTTAGGATTCTAATATGTTAGTACGATGCCAGGTCTCTCTTGGAAATTAGATTGTTAATCTCAATGAGAATTTTTACCTGGTTAAATAAAATAAAGGACTAATAATGTTTTAGCTTTTTCTGTGAATGAACACTGACAGTTGTAACATAGATGTCAAAAATTCACACTGTTATAAAACATTTTTGTTATACAGTAACTAATTTGGACACATTTAGCGATACTGGCTTAAATCAGACTCTCGTGGTAATTTGTTTTTATGATCCATATTCATATTCACTGTAAACAATGCAGAAGAGGCAGCTTCAGGCAAACTTGCTGCCTCCTGGTGATGATTTTTTTTTTTTTTTTTTAAATGCCTTAAATTTTGTCACGCCGTCATTACAAAGCCTGTACACTGTGGTGGATACTGCAAAGTATTTCATACTCAAAAAGACACTGATCAGCCACAACATTAAAACCCATCTTCCTAATATTGCATGGGTCCCTCAAGAACACCTCTGGCGGAGTCCTGATCTCTGGTGGCGAGGATCCTTCTGGACTTGGTCGGTAGTAAATTGAGGAGTCCGTAGACCAGGCTTGTTCCAGCTCAAATTGTCGATGCTTGACATCACTGGGATCTGGGAAGCGTGATGTTCCTTGAGCTGTATTCACGCTGGTCAAACAACAGGTCCAGTTATCCTCATGAATGTCAGGAACCAAGTTCTCCCAGCGGGGCGATAAACTGCATTAAACTATTGAAGGTTTTATTATTGTGGCTGACTGGTGTGTGTTTCACATCTGCACTGACGAGCTTTGCTTGAACTACAAATATTTTAGTTTATAGTCATCAGTCTATTCAACTGGCCTTGACAAGACTGATTTGCAGCAAAATATAACACAGAAAAGTACAGCACACCTAGTGAGCATCTGAGCTTCCATCATCGATGAAACCAAAGTCACTTTGTGACAAAGACAACTAAAGCGGATTTATTTACACTATCGGGTGCAAGCTTGCTGCTACAACAATGAAATATTACCCACAAACAAACAAAACTTAATTGCGATATTACATAAGATTAGTGTGTATTCGTTTTTACAGCTCATCCTTTGTCTCTCATTTCTCTGCCTGCTCCAGCCTTCTTTCACATTTTCTACACTGTTGGATCACATGACTCAACAGAAGCTACCTACCAGGGGTGTCAAACATGAGGGCAGAGGAGCCAATTCAGCCCACTCGAAGACTTTAACAAACTGTAGAACTTGCACAATCTTTGGTCTCTTCAGTCTGTTGGTTTTTTTTAATAGCAGTAGTTAAAAGTAATTAAAAATCATCCAACTAATGAGAGTGGCTGTCTAAACCAACTCCCTCTTGAAAAAGAAATAACTCATGGCCTGTCATGCTACACTGAGGTTAAACCAAAAACATCTCAGACTGTTGGTTCTTGTTTTCTTTTTGAAAAATGGAGGATTCGTTAACTTATGTTTATTAAACTTTTTAAAGTTGAAGTTCAGTGATTCAACTGCCCTAACACCCACTGAAATGAAATCAAACTGATTTCATGTGGTCCTTGAACTAAAACCCCTTCAACCCCTACATACCGCACTCCTCTCACTGTGTCACACAATCCATGCTCCGTGCAACCAAAATACAAAAGTTTTTAAAAAAGGAAAGAAAAAAAAAAAGAATGTGATTTGTGAAAACACCACAAGAGCTAAAAGATACCGCAAATAACATTAGTGAAATTCTACTTACAGATAGAACTCTAACAAATTCCAAGGATTGCTGGTTAGTGTCTTTCCCGAGGTCTAAATTCAACATCTTTCAAAGTTTCACGGAAGTTTCCTTCTCTGGAGTCCATTGCCATTTTCAGCCATTCAGTCATTGAGTTAGAGATGTTTATGTTTCATTTCTTTTAGTTATCCGAATATTAATTTGTCCACTTTATCTTCATGATCACTATAAAATCTTTAGCTCATCTTAACTGTTCTTTCCTAACACACCCTTAAAAGAAGACCAAATCATATGCATATAGTTCAGAAAAAAACAAAACATGAAGTGACCACAAATAAACACATCACTGAGGGTTAATTTTAAAGGTTTAACTTACATAAAATTCCTAAGAGACAATATTTGGACCTACAAATTTTTACAATCTTTCCACATATAAAACTTTTTAAAGAAAGAAAAAGTTATAAACCTGCATTCAATTAGTAGGAACGAGTTATGTTGCTGCCCGGCTCCTGCAGGCTGACCAGCAGATCGTCAATCTTCTCCATGTTCTGAGAGGCAGACATGGTGTTCGGCACAGTGCCAGACTGAGAGAGGGACTGGCTGAGCAGGGACTGGATGTGCGCTTCACTCTCTCTCTGGTTCTGACCAGACTGGCTGATTGCTATTATCTGATCTGACAGCGTGTTTCCAGGAGTTTCCATCAACTGGCCGCATTCTGCAAGGAAGGAACCGAAAGAGCTTCATGACTCAACAGGAACCACAGTCAAGAAAATAACAAACCACAGGCCCTTGAATAAAGTAAGCAGTGAACAGATTATTAATTACTTATGCTTTGGTCATAAATTTGAATGAAAAGTGGAGACACTACTTTACTGTCAATAATGAGTCCTCACAATCCAGATTTGACTGTACTCAATTCTTGCCAATTTGCAACCTATAAATCAGACTTAAAAATTGTGTTTTGTTTTTCTTTTATTGGACAATTAAAGGATGGGGATAAAAAAAAACAACTTTACAAATATGTTAAAGATGAACATTAATAAAAATAAAAAGGATAAATTCTAATACTGGTATTTCACAGACATGTGAAATTTAATCTGAAGTAACTCATTTTTGCCACTTGAGGGCAGCAGAAACAAGTAGTGATACATAGAAATACAGTCTATGCCAGGGGTAGGCAAGTCCAGGCCTCGAGTACTGGTGTCCTGCAGGTTTTAGATGCGTCCTTGATCCAACACAGCCTGGAGTTGCCTAGCCCTTGTCTATGCAATGAATACATTAACTTTCTATCACGCTTTAAGTTGATGTGGTGAATCTACTGAATAGATACGAAGCAATGCTCAGTAGTCAAAGTTGTGAGTCTCATCACTCAACGAAGCTTCTTTTTAGCTCTGCTAAATAATGAAGAAGAAAAATGGGCTTTTTGACTATGTAATACTCCTTTAGGTTTACCAGCTAATTACTAACTGTATCTTTTCTTGCCATAAACAGCTGTTTGCTGCATCTGGAAACAACTCTAATGAGAGCAACCAGAGTGAACTAAAAGTAACTAAGTGATAATCTTGTTCCTCACTTCTCACTTTGAGTCATTTCAGCAGTTTCAACAACGTGCACTTGCCTAATAAATTCCTTACCGTTCTGGATACCGAAAAGGAAGAGGCCAGCTTGTTGAGGCTGGCTGGATTGATTGACGCTCCCACTCACAGCTGTTTGAAACAGAGATCCTGGCTGTTGAACAGGGGAGGACGTAGTTGTCTGGAGGTTTGCCACGCCATTCTGTGAGGCAAACACGGCTGATTGTGCAAGCTCCTGAGCGGCCAGACCCCCCTGCAGAGAGGCCATAGTGGACTGAGGCATGAAGAGACCCACAGGCTGCTCCTCTCTGTTGCTGCTGTTCCCCAGCTGCATAGGTTGTTGCTCCTGAAACATGGCTTGCTGTGGTGGTTCAGTAGGGTTCCCTAAGGTCATGGGTTCTGGGCGATCTTGCTGGGTTACCGTCACCATGTTGGCTTGAGAAAAGGGCAGAGGGGTGTTTTGGGGCTCTTGAGAAACTAGACTGTTGTTGGTCAAAGGAGGCATTTGGCCTTGGTTACTGAAAAGGATGCTAGAGCCCTGGTCTGGTGTGGAAAGTGTGTTGCTGCAAAACAGCAAGCCAGCCTGCTGTTGCTGCTGCTGCTGGCCTGGAGAAAGTGAATTTGTAGATGAATGTGGGGAGATGTTCTGAAACAGGGTGGCCTGCTGGGCTGGCTGTGTGTGGTGTTGAGGCTGAGATGGTTGCTCCTGCTCCATGGGGCTTCTCTGCTGGATGGGGGAGATCTGGGTCTGAAATACTGACTGTGGTTCAGGGGAAGAAGATTGTAAAGCGCTAAGGAAGGCCAGCTGCTGCTGCTGTTGCTGCTGCTGCTGCTGTTGCTGGGAACTGTTGTTTGAAAGCTGATTGGACATAGAGGTCTGGGGGAGGAAGAGTCCAGGGGATGAGGCTTGCTGCTCTGGAGACTGTAGCACTGTCATGGTGCTTTGGAAGAGTGCAGCCTGGACCTGTTCCTGGGAGGCTTTTTGAAACAGCGCCCCCTGTGGATCCTGCGTTTCTGCCAGAGTGCTGGGATTGTGAAACATCGGTGGTGAAGAGTGAGATGGGGTCTGCTGGAGGAAGTTTGTCTGGATAGAAAGAAGATCATTTGCCTGCTGAAAAAGAGCTGCTTGCTGTTGCTGCTGCTGCTGCTGTTGTTGCTGTTGTTGCTGTTGCTGGTCCGGCTGGAAAAGTGATCCCTGGTTAGTCACCACACCTGGTGATGAGACCTGAAGCTCTCCATTCTTGGCCTGGGATGCATCCTGAAACATGGCACAGTGCATCTGCATCTGTGACTGAAACAGCTGCTGCTGCAGATTCTCCATAACCTGCTGCTGCTGTTGCTGCTGCTGAATTTGCTGTTTTTGGATCTGTTGCTGATGCTGGATGTGTTGCTGCTGCTGTTTGGTTATAGGGTTGTCAGATTGAAGTGATAAGTTACAGTATCCTTTGGCTTTTAGTTGTCTCACTGCTTCTTCCAGCTGGGCTACTTCATCTGGAGGAAAGAGTGGCAGCTGCTGCGGTTGAGATGCAGGTTCCCCACACAACCTTCCCACAGCTCCAGAACTGACACCTGGCCTCTCCTGCCTGAGGCCATCTCTGGTCTCCAAAAGGAACTGCTGTGATCCTTGCTGAAGCAGAGAGTCTGCAGGCACAGAGAATGAGCTGCCCGCAACAATGTCCTGCTTCTGGATGGTGCTTAAGGGCTCAGCGCTGGTAAAAACAGGCGCCTGGCCTTTGTCAGGATCACCTGCAGGCTGAGACAGGTTGCTGGAGAATACTCTGTTTTTATTTAGATGTCCTGCCGTCATATCAGAGTTCTGCTGGGCTGGGCACAGATCACCAGTCTGCTGATAACCCACAAAACAGAACACAAAAGATGTGCTTCACTTTGCTTTTCAGTTATGCATCACTGTTATTCTCTTTTTCAAAACACAGAATACTACCTTTATGCTTTATTTCAGGGACAATAAAACATGAACGAATTGAACGACTTGACTTTAAAACAAATTATGACAGCAACATATAAGATAAAAGCTTCACCTTAAATACTCCTGAAGACTGAAGGTTGCTTGTCACCTCCATTGGAGTGACATCTTCTCTCTTTACTAAAGACAACAAAGGCATCAGGGATCTATCTACAACCGTACGAGTAGCAAGGATTACATTACATTTTTTTCCATGTATTCACTTTACTATATATAGGAAACCTTGGTGTCTTTGTTAAAAAATTGAAATAAATAAAAAATAACCTTTAATTTGCTCATCAAAAGAACACGTCTTCACTGGAGAAGGCAACTCTTTCTTCACAGGAACATCGATTGTTGCTGCAAGTGTCAGCAAAACGACAAAAATCAATGCACAGCAAAAATGTTAGTTAAGTAAAGCTACATATGATGTGAGTGGACAGCTAATTAAATTGCTTACTAAATTTTAGTTTAGTTACTTTGTCACACCTTACAGTGTTTTACCCAGAGGACTAAAAGGATATCAAATTAACTAGTAAAGAGACAATTTAAAAGGTAATGACTGCTAAAATAACAATGACAATATATTGATATACTCAACAAAGAAGTGATGTAAGTCTTATGACTACTGTACACAAGAACATTCATAAAAGCATAATTATATATTAAAACAAAAAAGTTTTTAAGGCCCAATCACACAGGCTAATAGACTGGTTTGCGAACCCCTGGCAACCATCGGTCACCAGGAAAAGAATGTGTATTCCTCAAGGCCAAACACCTAGAGAGTGAAAATTTGGCCTGTGTGTCTGGGGTGTTAAATACAATCCAGCTTTATTTTCTAACTAGGTTGGTCTGCTTTGGTACCAGTCAGTAAATCTAATCAGCCATGTGTGGGAAATGACCCAGTAATCTGAAGGCTACATGCAAGGTTACCAGAATCCCGATTACATTTTCATGGTCATCTTTCTATCAGCCGATTGTAAAAAGGACACACTTCATGTGAATTAGTGTGAAACGGATTCAAACAAACCTGGATCTGGAGTGTAAGTAAATGGCTGAACGTCATGGGATCTCCCAGCATTCGTCACCACGTAGATTCCTACACACACTTTAGATGTGATGACTTGGTTCTGGTAGGGAGGAACCTTTACTATCAGGTGATTCTTTGGGATGATAAACAAAAAAAATCATCAGCAAACACGACTACAACAATAAGACTACCCAACTTCAGCATTCTGCTATAGAGATTTCTATGACACATCTGACATCACAGTGAAACCAAATATAAATGGGCAATAAATCATATTTCTTACTCTCGCTGTAGACGATGGATTTGCAGCTACCAGATATTGATATTATTTTGCTATTAATATTAATCCTACATGCAACCCTCCCATTTATCCAGGCTTGGGACCAGCACTTTGAGTCCACTAGCATTCCAGCCTTGACCCTGGGATCTGATTGTGTCTGAGGCAGATGTGTTAGCCACTAACATGCAGCCATGTCAACTAAATATCAATGACAGTAGCACTTCCAGCTATCAGCAGCTGGTGGCGGTAACACTTGGCTCAATAATGAAGAAGCACAGAAGACCATTAACCGACCAAAGTAATGCCAAATTATCTTTCAAATCATCAAAGCATAGTTAGCCGAGTTGGTTCATTCAATCATGTTTGTTCAGCCTTTCCAAACAATACACATCACAACTTCAGATAACTGTAAAACTGGTTTATGAGGGTGTCAAGGTCTTAGCAAAATGTGAATACTTTCATTTGGCAGCTGCAGATTCATCGCTCTGGTCATGTCATTTAACAAGAGCAAAGGTTCAGACTGGACTCTTGAGACACACTCAGTAATAACCTCTAAGATGGAGTGTAATTAGGTCAGAACACAATGAGACTACTCAAACCTTTGAACAGCAGCCATTTAAGATGATTACATCTAAAGCCACTTACCAGTCTGAAATGGCTGCATCTATCTACTGAGCTCGTTAGCCATTACCATAATTGTTTGTCACAAAAAAGATTAAAAATAGATAAAAAACACACCTGGTGAAAAAGCTCCATGTCAATTTCAGCCTCTGCCTTCCATGACTTCTCATCTGAAACACAGAAACGATGTAAAGCATCAACCAGAGAAATGACCTCACCTATAATAACCCTGCAAAACATAAAGCTTTACTACTGACCAGAGGCATTCTCGTGAAATATGACTTTGGTGTCTTTAAGAAAGTTTTTTCCAATGATGAAGACCTCCTCTCCACCCCTCACTGAACAGCTGTGCAGTGACTTTTTCAGTATTTCAGGCACTCCTGCTGGCTGGGCTGTAAACACAGCAGATACACATCATGCATTTATGTTTTAAAGTTTTATTTATACGTGCAACCCAGGCAGAAATAAAATGAAATCTAACAGTAACAGCAAAGAAATTCATGCTGAAAGGACTGAAGCAGTGATTCAAAAAACTAATATGAAAACAAAAATTTGTAAAGTAGATTGGCAGCTTTGTTTTGCCTTTTCAAATTAAAACTTTCAGTAAATATAAATATTTCAAAGATATTTTATCAAAAATGAAAAACTGATCACCAAGTATTGAGAAAACTGTAAATGCAAATGCTTAACACACCCTTTACCTTCAACACTGATTTTGGGGGGCATTGTCTACTGTACACCACACCCATATTGTGTGGATATGGACACACACACACACACACACACACACACACACACACACACACACA